CCCGAGCCCGACACGGTGGAGGCTGTCATCGAGTACATGTACACCGGGCGCATCCGCGTCAGCACCGGCAGCGTGCACGAGGTGCTGGAGCTGGCCGACAGGTGCGCGGGGGCCCTGAGTGCTGTTCACCTTGCAGATTCGGAGAGGCTGAGGCAGGAGGATCGCGAGTTCCAGCCCAGCCGAGAGCTCGTCTCAACGGGTTAAACAGAATTGCGCGCTGCAATCACAGCGCCTTGCAGCGCTGTGGGAGGCTGAGGCGGGAGGATGGAATTCAATCTCAGCCTGGGCGGTTTAGCGACTGAGATCCTGTGTCAGAAGGTAAAGGGCTGGGGATGTAACCGAGTGTTAGAGCGCCCAGGGTTCAAAAGCGAAAAGCTATCAGGTAAGGAAAGACCTTTCTGAGGAGTTTGGCCTTTAAACTGATCTAAAAGGCAAGAAAACTGGTTGTGCAAAGATAGGGGATGAGGTCGGGGAAGCACAAAGGCCCCAGGCAACATCCGTTTAGGCGCAGCAAAGGAACCTTTGAAAAGGAAAATCCTGGCTGTGCGTGCTGGCTCAGTTCTGTAATCCCAGCACCGGGGAGGCTGAGGCAGGATTTCAGGGAACTGGAGGCCGGCTGGAATTACAGCGTGAGACCTTGTCTCAAACAAAAGAAAACAAAGAAAAAGGAACATCCAAACTGGTCCTGATAACACATGCCCGTAAATCCCAGGACTCAGGAGGCAGAGGCAGGAAGATCACTGTGATTTCAAGGCCAGCCTGGGTTACATAGGGAGACCCTGCCTCAAAAAAAGAAAAGAAAAGAAAAAGAAATCCAGTGTGGCTGGATTTGGTGGGTGCAGAGAAGAAGGGTGTAGGGGTGCACAGATTTCATGGTGAGTGTGTTGAGAAGTGGGTAGAAAAACAATGTGATCCGAACAGTTTGTCTGGAAGTAACCCTTCTGGGCTGCTGCTGCAAGGAGAGGAGGGCAGGGAAGGAGCTGCAGAGGCTGCTGGGTGCACGGTGGAGGTTTGGCAGCAAACACCTTGTGAACGCCTGGGGAAGCAGCCAGGCCCTGGGCTCCAGGTGCTGAGACCCTGCGGGAGCACGGGAGCACCGGCGCAGAAGTCCGTCCCTCAGGTGGCCGGTGGGGTGATTGTGAGGCCAGGGGAAGCACAGAGCCCCTGAGGGAAAGGAGCTGGGGGCAGACGAGAGAAAAGGAGGTCAGTAGAGACTGGTGCAGAGCTCAAGGGAACCCAGGACCTCGGGCGGGCGCAGGTGAGCCTGGATCCTGTGCTCCGGATCCCGGAGGACGGGAGCTGACCTGGAATGGAGGCTTGGCTGCCTTTAGGGCCAGCGGGGAAGGCGGGGATGCGGAGAAGGGGGATGCGACTGTGGGTCTGCAAGTTTCTGACCCGAGCCCCTGCTGGATGCGGCTCGTGGGAGTGGAATATTGCAGAGAAGCAGTTCTGGCAGCGGCCAGTTGGTTTGGTCAGGAGGTCTGGACAGGTGGTTGGATAGAAAAACACTGGGTCTCTGCTGGGTTTTGGAAAAACCGAGGAACTTGGGGAAGCAGCGTAGTGGGGTCTGCTGGACAGGGATAGCTCATTGAACACTGAGATTAGTGATTTTTGTGGGGAGGGGAGGTTATTGGAAATGGCACCTGGGTGCCTTATTACCGAGCTGCAGGTGCAGGTCTTAAAAATACTTTTGAGACAGGGCCTCAGGAGTTATCCAGGTGACTTGAACTTGGGATCTTCCTGTTTCAGCCTCCCTCCATGATGGAATTATAGGCACATAGCACTGTGATGCTGAAACTGAACCCAGGGTCTTTGCACTGAGCTACAGCCTTTTTTTTTTTTCTCCTTTGAAGCAGATTCTTGTATGTAGTTCAGGCTTACTTTGAACTCTTAGTCTAGGCTGGTCTTGAGCTGGAGGTGGTTCTCCTGCCTCAGCCTCCTGAGTGCTGGGATAACAGTTGTGCGCCACCATGCCTTTTTGTTTTTTCCTATTTTGAGACAGGGTCTCACTGAGTTGCCTGGGCTGGGTGGAGCTTTCTGTTTTTTATTTTTATTTTACTTATTTTTGAGAC